ATTACCTCCTTTGAGGTCCTCAAGTGAAAGGAATTGGTTCTTGCTTCCTGTCATATGCTTTGAACAGCCACTATCCATGTACAATATTTGGCTGCTCCCTTTCACTTGGACCCATAAAAGGAAATCAGGGGTTAGTCTTAGGAACCCAAACTAGTTTGGGTCCCTTTCTATAGGCAAAAGGGTGAATCAGATTCTTTTTAGCCCAACCTGGAGCCTATTTTTCCCTTGAACAAATTCTTTATTCTTTTTACTAGCCTTTTCTTTTGCAATACGTTCAGATTTATAGTGACCAGTTTTACCACAGTGTGTGCAAATTATGTTCTCAGGAAGTGTGAGGTACTTACTTTTAGGATCCCACTTAGATGCAGGGGTCCCATAGCCAAGTCCTCGCTTATTGCTACTATGGTGTTCGTGTAGCCATGAAAGTGCATCGGAGGACCTATTCCATTTACAGGTTCTATCTAGCTCGTGCTTAACCTTGTTTAGATCCTCCTTAAGGACTCTTATCTGCTCATCTCTTTTGTACAACTCATAATTCATTTTTCCTACATTTTCTTCTAAAGTGAGTTGTGTGTGATCAGCTTCCTTTTTACCATCTCCTAATTTCAATTTTAGATTTTCAGATTTGAGCTCTAGGACTGTGGTGTCAAGTTCATGAACCTGGTTCTTTAACTCAGCATTTTTACTATCACTAACACTAGCCCTAAGTTCCAGGTTTTTGCACTTAGCTTTCAGAATCACACACTCCTTAGACAACTGTTCCTTTTCATTGTTTATAACTTCAAATTCATCAATGAAATTTAGAAGTAATTCAGATAGACTTTCTTTAGACAAAAACTTAATCTTGTCTTTGAGATGAATTATACTTACCTCAGATTCCTCATCGGATTTCCCAATTGCCATAAGTGCTTGTTCATCTCCATCTTCGTCTTCTGAGTCATCATCTGAGCTTTCACCCCAAACAACAACCATAGCCTTTGTTGATCCTTTGTTCTTCTTGGGATGAACCTGTTCCTTCTTCCTGTTCCTTCGTTCAGCTCTTTCCTTCTTCCATTCAATTTCCCATTGAGGGCAATTTTTGATGTGGTGATCAGTCTTCCCACACTTGTAGCACCCCTCATTGGTTTGTTTTTCAGGAACCCTTGGTTTGTCGTAGCTTCCATTTCTTGAAGGACCATTTTCTCTCATTAGGTACTTCTTGAAGTCCTTTGTGATCATGGTAATTTCATCCTCCTCTAGATCAGCACCTTCAGTGATTCTGAATGCCATGCTCCTTTACTTCTTGGGTGCATCCATCTTCATGGTTTGCCTTCTAAGTTCATAAGCAGTGAGATTTCCAATTAGCTCATCCAACTTAAGAGTGGCAATGTTCTTTGATTCCTGAATAGCTGTGATTTTGCTTTCCAAGAGATTGGCAGTACCATTGTCAAAATCTTCTCAACTTTGTCTTCTTCAAGAATAACCCTTCCAAGAGACTCAAGTTCATTTGTCAGTGTGGTGAACCTTGTATACATCTCTTGGATAGATTCTCCTTCCTTCATACTGAAATTCTCATATTGAGAATATAGTAGTGTCCCTTTTGATCTCTTTACTTGAGGAGTTCCTTCATGAGCCACTTGTAAAGTGTCCCATATTTCCTTTGCAGTAGTACAACTTTGAATTCTACTGTACTCGTCTGGACCAAGTCCACACACAAGCCATTTCTTGGCCATAGCATTCTTTTCCCATTTCTTCAAATCTTCAGCAGTACAGTCAGCTCTTGTCTTTGGCACATCCACTCCTTCAGCATTTTTCTTTATAGTAGCCAAGGGACTATCAGTGACTATATCCCAGAGTTCATAGTCTTCTCCGATGATGTGATCCCTCATCCTGTTCTTCCACCAAGAATAGTACTGACCATTGAAAAGTGGAGGCCTAATAGTGGATTGCCCTTCCCAGTTTCCAGGTGGTGCACTCATGTTGATCTTTTCCTAAGGTGTTAGCCTCTTCAAGGATAACCTGCTCTGATACCAATTGATGTTCTAAACGTCAATACCACACAAGAGGGGGGGGGTGGGGTGGGGTGATTTGTGTGGTACTCAATTTTTCGCTTAAACTGCTTCTGGAAGGACCTGGTTCTTCTAGGTGTACTTATTACTACTGTTTGCGGAATTAAAAGTACATAAAATAAAGAACACAGAGATTTTACGTGGAAAACACCTGGCTCAAAAGGTGAAAAAACCACGACCTACTACTCAGTAGGATTTTTCCAAACTTCCACTAAAATCACTGAGCCAAAACTGCATTTACAAAACTCTTTGTAAACCTAAGGATTAACTCTAATCCCGTTGTGGCAACCAGCCTCTAACTGCTGCGACAACTTCAAGTTAACTCTAACTTGAATACTCAATATACCTATTACAATTGCTTCTAGATAAAGCTGAAAGGTACAATATGAAACACCTACTACAATTGAACTAGAAATAAAGAAAGACACATAAAACTCTTTATGGAGCTGGTTCTTCAATCTGGTTCATGTAGCTTCTGGTTTGCACACTTGAATCACACACAAACTGCTTGCAAAAAGCCTTGCTATTTTGCTCCCAATTCACGTTTAACTTCTGTGTTTTTGTGCAACGCTTTAATGTGAGAACATCCTGCAATTTATAGAGTTAGTAGATGAAGAAATAACTAGAGTTCTGATGCAACTCTTCCTTGGTGGAAGAGTTCTAGTTGATTTCAACTTCTAACTCCTTCCCTATCTTGAATTGTGTTCTCTTTGATTAAGGAGTCCTTCTCCTTATCAATTATGCAACCTTTTCGATCAGGAGATATTAAATACACCAAGTTAAGCTTATCTCCTTCACGTGCATCCCACATGCTTGAATCTGCCCGTTTTTGTGAACCTGAGGGATGGACCACTGGATGGACCTGGTTCATGTCTGAGTTCCTTTGTCAGTCTTCAAAACTAACATTTACTTGGGCCAAGAAGAACCATGAGATTTTACATAAGATGGCAATAGCATGTTGTTTAAATATCAAGGAACCAATTATAGCATTTGGACTCTTTAACACTAATGTGTCTTTCTTCATTTCGTCATACCACAGAGTGAAATTAGTCTACAAATTAAACCTAAGGTAAAAGGTCTGGTCTTCACCTTCATGGGAAAATAACAAACATCATGAGCTAGGACATCGATTGAAGAGCTTTCTGACGGGCGTAGCGGAAACGTTCCGCCATCTTGGAATGAGGTTGGATGGTCTCCTTCACCAGAGGAAGTTCATTGAGTGCAGTCACCCATGAGAATATGAATGGTGTTTCTTGTGGATCTATGAGCTTCACATTCGCTGCTTCTTCAGCTGCCTTATAGCAGCCTAGAACTGAAATAACTACAATGTATAGTAATCCAAGATTTTTCCCATCAACTAATGGCTTCTCACCTGGGAAAAGATCTTGCATTTGCTTTTCCATCATCTTCAGTTTTTCAGTAACATCTCTGAGTATTTTCTCTTCTGCCTCTCCATGAGTAGTGATGACTGGACGCATGCTCTCAAATACCTACAAGTGTATAAGCACCTTTTTGCATTAGGCTTTTAGTAAAGGATTTAACTTATATACACTGACATGACATTAGTGTGAAAGAATTGGCATATCTCACCTCCTTATCGAGAAAGTTTGCCAAGAATCTAACATTGACTCGTAGGTAAGGATCTTCCTGGAAGAGTTTTGGAGCGTTTTTCCATGTTTCGTCGATATATTCAAGAATGACAAGGGACTCAACAACGGATTTATCATTGTGGACCAGCACTGGTATCATCTTGTGAACAGGATTGTATTGCAAGAGTAAGGTGCTCTTGTTGTATAGATTTTCTTCTATATACTCATACGGTATGCCTTGGGCTTTCAGGGCAAGTTCCACCCTCTTTGAATAAGGGCTAGCCCAGAAGCCATGTAGTTTCACTTTCTTTTTTTCTTCCATTTCTTTATGTTTCCTCTATGTGTATTACTCCTATCATACATTTGAAGTCTTTTAAGTAGAATATGTATTACCTTCCCTTATAAGCTTCCTTGGCTTAATCAAATAAATTATTTTTTGCATATTTTAATATCAAATTGATTGAACATGACCTAGTGCTTCTCAGAATAAAATTATTTTATCCGGAAGTGTTGGCCTCGTAAATTACATCGTTCAAATTATATAGCCATTAATTGAAGTCCGTTTTATAACCTATTCCAGACTCTACTTTATAGGACAACTATCTCGTAAACGGTAAACTAAAAAACTTTTCTTTGCAAAATTTGAATTTACAGCGTTATTGGCATCCATCAAGATTTGGATCTTAATTAACCTTCCTTCCATTATTGTCATTTGTCACTCATCACATCACGCAATGATTCTATGTACTTAGACAAATTTTTTTATATTAACTGACATGTCACGCTGTTGAGGAAAATGGCCTATCAGGTTTAACCGTTTTGGGGAGGGAGCTGTTAAGTTGCAAAGTGGACACTAAGTCATACTTCACATTGAATGCTTGTAGGAATATGGCATAATTAGTCAAATTTTTAATCTCTAATGCTGCAATGGTGAATTTAATCAAGCACTTAATCAACTTGTTATGAAAAAGTATACATTTGTTGCATGGTAGACATGACATTATGGGACATGATGTATGGAAGTTGACTTTGGGTACCTTATGTAGATTATAAGCTGAAATGTTATTCTCAAACAGTTGGAGAAATTAGTGATATCTCAAAAGGGAATGTTCTTCGTTGGATAAGAGGTACTCTCATTTTCACTTTATAAAAGAATTCTCCTTCTAGTGATCTACTAAAGAGCAAGACAAAGGAGATTGGACTAGCACGCACAAGAATTGGTCTGCTTATATTTTGGTTTTAAAATTCACTAAGTTGAAGCAATATTGAGTTACAGTTAATCATCAAGAAGCAAACTTATTCATCATACAAACCAAGTCCTATTACCATTTCAAATATTGGTTTGAAACGTAAAGCCATTTTGCTTAATGAACTCAAGTCTTGAAACGACCTTGTCATGTGGAGGCAGAGTCCGTTTCACCAAAGGCATCTCAAGTAGGGTATTCACCCATGAATATATAAATGGATTCTTTTCAGGATCCAAAATCTTCATTCCAAGTACTTCTTCTGCTGCCTTATATGTACCAAGTGAACCTACAATTATTATATCTAGAAGTCCCATATTCTCACTGCAGATATTAGATCTTTCCCCTGGGAAGAAATCTCTCATTCCTTCTTCCATCACTTGTAGTTTCTCAAAGAATTCATCAAATGCTCTGTCCTTGTCAACTTCTTGGGCTGAAATGAATGCTTTCTTCATGATATCTGATATCTGCAATCATTTAATCTTAACATCAGTGAAGTTGAAGTGGGCAAATTTTGTAAGTGTGTGTTTAATTTGGTCTGACGAAGTCATTTTTCAGTGTTTGGTTTCGAGAAAATGTACTTATTTTTGCAGAAGTCGTTTTTCTCACAATTATCTGAAAAACTTCATATATTACTTGCCCGATCAATAACTAGACATCACTACTATTATTCTTTAGGCCACAAAAATTTCATCAAACACTCTATAATCCTTAATATGAATTGTTTCAAGAAAATGTTTCAATAAAAAAATGACTTCCGTTGTACCATATAATATTCATATACAGTAACACACATGAAAGAAGCATAGAAGTATAACCTGAAGGCAGTAAGTAGCCCAAAAACGAACTCTTGCTCTTTCATTAGGATCTTCTGGTAAAAATCGAGGCTGGTTTTTCCAGGTTTCGTCGATATATTCAAGAATTACAAGAGACTCAGAAACAGGTCTTCCACGGTGAAGTAATACTGGAACCTTCTTATAAACGGGATTATATTTGACAAGCAGAGAACTTTTGTTGCTCAAATCTTCTTCAACATAATCAAAAGTTATGCCTTTGATTTTGAGAGCCAATTCCACTTTCTTGGCGTAACTGCTAATCCACATTCCATGTAGAGTAACTTTATTTTCATCTTCCATTAGTTTTTTCTTATTTCTCTTTTTTTCTTTCTTAATGTTAATATCGCGGATGTCGTAGAGTTTCCACTATCTAAATAGAATTTCCACTAACTATAAGCTGCGTAATCTTTAGGTTTGACTAGAAGAAACGAGAGGTTAGTTTTGTGCTACACTGTAGTAGAATTACTTGGTGTGCTTTCTTTTACTATATATAAGTTTAGATGGTGAACGCAATGGATGACGTATGAAGGAAGATAATTAGATATTTAGCTCGTTACACTCAATTGTTGTCTCTGCGTAGACACTTTGAGAAACAGATCCATCCTTCAAACCCCAAGATATGAAGATGGTCACGTCCCAAAAATAATTAATATTTCTACTGTCAAGAATGGGATTCGATCCCATGCCCTTTCGGACCAGTACCTGAAACTGGCGCCTTAGACCAACTCGGCCATCTTGACTCTTAGGAATACCCTGCATAATCGGGATAACTAATTATCTTCATTAATTGCCTAGTTGTCCTACTATTTTTCCTTTTTCAACGATCCAATTTTCACTAGTGCGATGCGAGCTCCACACACTCCTCTCTAATCGGGATTTGTAAATGACCTGTGTATAATATATCCTGTAGGAGCCAAAAATTCTCATCTTTGGACGCAAAGTTATCTCATTCATCGACTTTGGTTAAGATTACATCAAAATGCCACAATATGCGCAGTTTTTCCTTACATTAGACTGACTTTTCCTCCTTAATGAAGGTACCAAAACTACAGATTTTACCTTCTAAAAAAAGAAAGTTGATCACTCACTTTTTAATAAAAGAAACAGACTTTGAATTTCAACAGCTATGCTGCTAATTCCTAGCTTGATATCTTGGAATAATAGCTCATCAAAATAACGTTTCCTCGAGTTTGATATTTTCAGTTATGATAAAATTTTATACTGTGAAATTGAGTCCATTTGATCGATTGATAGATACTGATACTTCACAAACTAAAATAACAAAAACGAAATCCTGCTTCTTTTTCTAAATGAAGAGAATAAACCTAAAAAACTCACTTGCATCCTCTCACTTACCCGCTCTTTCTTTATTTATAAAACAAGTTTACTCATTTCTATGCAAATGCAATAGAATACCACAAGCGAATGTAATTATGTGATGCAAATAGTACTAGCACTATTGCTATTTTGTCAATCATAACTGATTTTCTTTACTACTATAGTTAATATTTCAAATTTGTATGTTTATAAAAATTTAAGAACTCAATATACAAATTTAGATCTCATAACCCCTTGCATTTAGAACTTTGCCAGTAGGGGTGCTCATGGTTCAGTTTGAGTTAATTTTCTTCTAAAAAAACAGTTAACTCGGTTATTCAAATATTAGAACCAAACCAAATCAATTAACTTGATTTTTTGTAGATTCGATTTATGTCGGTTTTTTGGTTATTTCGAATTTTTATCGGGTTTTTCTCCCTTAAATATGAGACATTTGCCAAACACATATTCCGCCTATATTCTAAAACAATACTATTAAACCTATTATTCATTAAGAAAATTTGTCATTTACCAAAATATATTAATAATATATATTGAATTAAATAGTAGAGTAATTTAAGGACTCAATTAAAGATAAAAAATTTTAACGTGAAATAGATTCTTGGACTTAACATAATAAAACTACCATCAAACTAGAAGGTAACGGCAAATAACTTGATTATTATAATGACAAAGCACTAGACTACCAAATAACAGCGTAAACGATTGTGTGTGTGTGTATATATATATATATTTATGTATGTGACGAGCGCAAAACACAATATAAAAACTAATGCTCGCTAGCCAAAGATAGTATAGATCAATTATGGTCTCCATAGGGTTTGGATTTAAACAGTGTTCGAATAATTTCCATTTGATTACTATCAGAAAATTTAATACTTGATTTGATGACTATTACTACGATTAACTATGAAAATTTAAGCAAATAACAATTGATCACAAAAGACCGCAGATGAGCACGAAGAAATATCAATGAGGGAAATAAGGGTAATTGACTAGATAGGTGCACGATAACTGACTCGGGATCCAATTCTTGAGTTAATTACTCTATAATACAGTTGATTCTCAAGAACTGAACTAATAATCAGATTACACTTGAAGCTAATATTCCTCTTTGATTAAACATTAATTTTAGTAATTAATCCAATTGAAGCACAGTAAACAATTGCAACAGTAAAATGATGTTTATGATCTAAACGGTAACTTCTCACGAATATTCTCTATTTTCTAGTTTTATTAACAATTCAAGAGGCTCTTTCGATTACCTATTTGAATCACGAATTTATACTAAAAGACAATATGTGAAGAAATTGAATATCAAACTCCTCTTTCGATTAAGCAAAATATTAAATAACTCCACAATACATATTAAAGCTCCATCAATTAATTCTAACAATTATCAAGAATCGAATCCCTAATCAAGTTATTGAAACGCCATATCTATCAATACCCAAATGAAAATTACTCCATAGTAATGGAGCAAGATATCTCCAATAAGTTTAAGAACAAAGAAAACATCAATTCTAATGATTTGATACAAACTCTCGTATTGCACCGATTGCAGGTTGAGATCTTGATGAATTCTTGAGTCTTCTTACCTTGGTTGGTTCTCCAATCTTCTCCAGGTCCAAAGTGCTGTAAAATGGTATTTTGGTGTATTTAAGCCGTCCCCAAAACAAATCCGGGCGAAACTACCCTTTCTTAGCCAAAATAGGAAATCACTCTAACTTTGCGCGGCGCGCTTGTGGAGAATTCCAGAACGTTTGGCAAAATCTTATCTTGCCATCTTTTGCACTGCCGCGCTGCGCCTTGCGGCGCCCCATGCGGTGTGGCTGTGCATTTTTCTCAGAGTAAATTCGTTTATTTATTTTTTTGACATTCGGACTTGGTCCTCGACCCCCGAACGTGATCCCGGCTTAATTGCTTGGGCCTCTACTCAGACATCAAAGTTCCAACTTGTTCGATTTAGCTCCAAATTACCTTAATAACTCGGAATTATTTCCTACAAGGCATAAAACACACAATAAGTGCAATTCACTATTGTATAAGCTCAAACACACGTAAAATGCAGTAATAAGAGTGCAATACTACGGCTAAAACACGGGTTTCTAGCCTACCATCAACACCCCACACTTAAAATATTGCTCGTCCTCGAGCAATCAAACTACACTTCACATAGAGACGACCTTCTTATCAAACGCATGATGCCAAGAACATTTAAAATAGACTAAGCACCATATCATGACATCCTAGCCTCAGAACTCGACTCACAAGCACCATGCAATTTTCACAACCTGCTCACTTACTCTAACTCAGAGGTCAAAGACTTTACCTTACCTTCATAATACCCCCTCACACAAACAATATAGAGTAGCTCCACACATAATAAAATTCAAGAACAAATAGGAACTCAAGATAGAAAGAATTAACTCACTCTTAGAAATAAAATTCATATGCCACAGAGAATGTACCATAAGCTTGCCCATAGTGTAATACTCTACTACTTGAGCTAATTCAGTCAAAGCTCAAGTAGGACTTTATTTTGGTTGTAATGCAGGCTGTGGGACGGGTAGGATACATATGGAGAATAGTGACACCTCCCTAGGCACTTTAATACAATAATTTTACAATTTAAACCTCACACTTATGTTGAACCAAACCCCAACCTTCACAATATTACAACATCAAGCTTCCAATTTCTTTAAGCATAAACAAGATGAGAACTAAACTACCACTAGCAAGGAATCCATTTTTTTCTTTTCTAATACATATATAACTATTTTTATTTCAATTCCTTACAAGTGTATCTCAAAATTTTCAAACAGTGCACCTTTCTCCCTTTTCTATAGCTCCACACAAAAACCCAACCATACATCATTTAGCTTTTACAAGCTCATAACAAAATCAAGTGCTCTAGAGAGGTAAAAGGTTCAAATAGATAGTCAATTCAAACAAAGTGGATCAGGCCTGCAGTGTGGTTGACAAAGAAGTAAAATTATAGGCTCAAAGGGGCTAACTAAGATACACATTCATTAGGTGGGTAAAAGCATATACGTGGCTTACAAAGAAATGCCTATATCATTTCCTAGACTGAACAAGACAACTATTTCGCTTCGCAAATACACGGGGAAAGTTCTAGACATTAACTAACACGCACAGAATATCAACAATAACCTCTCACCCACATATTGGCACATAACTCACTTAGGATCGGATCCATCATGACTCTCTAGTCAAAGCAGTTAAGCAAAGTCACAATCACACAATCTGAGGTACTTGTTTAAGAGTCAAGAACTGAGCCTAGGCATCACAACTAAGGCACTTACTACTCTCAAGGCACAACAACGTCAAGAAAATTCATCTCCATTTAATACACAGCACAAGAATTAACTATTCCTAATAAAAGAAAAAACTAAAATACACCCGGTTCAAACAAAACCCTTGAAAAAGAACCGCGGTACAAAGAAAAATCAAGAGAGAATTATTACACTACCTTAGAAAGACAAAATTATTTATTTATTTTTTTCTTCGACTTTAATTCCCTCAATAAACCAGTCGACGAAATCCATCGTCTGGAAGAGTCGAAACTAAACAATTAAATTTAAAGTTATGATTACAGACTATATTGTCTAACAAAGCAAGAAACAAATAGAAATAAATCAAAACAGCACCAATTGGCAAATAGAAACAAGTACAAATATAACTACATAAGAGCACCCCACCCCACGCTTAAGAATGTGTATTGTCCACAAAGCAAAACAGTAAAACAAGAGTGAAAAGGTAACTCCCAGAGGCCAGTGACCTACTCCTCATCAACACCCTCAAAGGTGTGCAAGTACTTTTCATCATCAGAGGGAATAGAGTTGGCGTCCTCATCCAGTGGCATCTGTACTCCATCGGCCAAGCCCAACCACTGTTGAGTGACATCTGGGAGGGGGTGGTCCTCCTGCAGTTCTGCCATGTCAATCTCACCCCGAGCAGTGCAAAAGCGCTTAACAGCAAATAGCAGCTGTAGTGTCTCCTCCACACGAACAAATCTCTGGTCTACAGGAAGAACAATAGCGGGGGAGGGGGGTCCGTCATAGCTGTGACATCAAAAGGCTTAAAATGTCGCATAACCTGAATCGTCCGATCATAATGGTACTCCTCCTCCACATAGTGTGTTCGCAGAAGCCGCATAATCATGCTCGGGAAATACAGGCGGCGGGACCCAAGTGGTCGCACTCGATACATGTCCTCAAGCATAATCTTACCTAGATCAAACTTCATCCGAGTCAAGATAGCATAAATGAGCCACACCTTCACCCGGGAGACATCAGTGCCGTTTTGAGTAGGCATGATCTTTGCATTAATCAACAGGAGAATGACTCTGGTGGGATGCTGGAAATGGCACTTCCTTATG